AATAAACCGCACGTTTATGCATCTATATGTTATTATTACCAGAATAATATTTGTAGTACAGGAAATAACTTTTTCTATTTCACTTTTATAGATTAGTGTCTAAAATTCTGAATTGGCAAAAACATTCGTAGTCTAATTATGATTATTTTAACACTAGAACACCTAAACTTGTGAAAATGACGAATTAAAAATTTCGTATTTTACGATTACTGATAGTATAAAGGTGCTTTTCCGGAATTTATGTTGTCTTTTAACTTATTTTACATTATACATTACACCAAATATACCATAAATAAATAACTACATAAATATATTCTATTATATTGTATTGTATATTATACAATTTAGTTTAGCATATATTCCACGCAGGTAGTTCTAGCGTTAATAATCTGGTATCGCATGTGTTAGAAAAATAATTTTGCATTTACGAAAGAAAGATGTAAGTCAGACAATAGTTTAACTAACATATGTTTATAAGATGTCGATAATTTTGTTTAAACTGATTCAACTCAGCTTCATTCCGAAGAAATATATTACAATGTAATAAACAATTACACAATTTATGGAAAATTTTTTCGCTAACTCCACAAGTTATCAGTCTGCAGAATTTTTTAGCCGCAAGTGATATACAGTTTGATTATTCTACGTACTTCTTCCCACAATTTGACTTGCTATTACTTTTTCTTATCTTCAAATTGAAAACTGAGGTGAACGAAGACAGTCGAATATCATTGTATTAGGTGTATCAATACGTAACTCACTATCTAATTTTAACAAACTATTGTAGTAACACAGTTGAAATTTGAATTAATTTACTATTATCTTTTGTAATTATTTCGAAAAGAAGTATTGAATCTGACGAAATATAATGGATTACTTATGGATATTCCTAACAGAGATTCTCTCCGCCATGTTGCAGAAAAGGTGTCAGAACTGTTTCTTCTTATTATTTTATAACTATCTCTTCAGAAGAATTTACTTTGATTTATTAAATCGCTGCATATGACATGTTGCTTTTATTCTTTGATATTTTTGGTTACACTTTTATGAAACGAAATGATTAAAAGTAATTACCATTTGCACGTTAAGCTTGTTTCTACCAATAAAGCAACATCAAGTATTTAAACTGAATTAAAACAGATGATGAATTAAGATGAAATTCGGCTAAAATCTCTCTGTTATATTTACATTTGAAAATTGATATACCCCGTGAAACTTTATTTATGGTGTTGGTGCAGATGTTTTTTTAACCAAAAAAATCGAAAAGTCTAGAATTAATAATGTTTTCAAACAATTAGTCTCTAATAAATCTTAATAATTAGATTCAACTTTGAAAATTTACTTCCAAGAAATTAGATTCTTAATAATCATTCTATGAACTTACGTGTATTTAATTGTCGAACGAAAATAATCATAGGGTGAGTGCACCAGTAAATGAACACCTACCAGCGAATAAAGTTACTAAAATAAGTAAATGTTTAAATATTGATTTTTCTTCAATTCCTTGTTTCATATTGAAACAATTTTCGTGCCACCTGCAGTCGATCCAGGCTGTAAAAATAACCTTAAAACAGTGTATACTGGACGTGCCGAGAGTCGTCGATCGAGCGTTTGCTATAAGGTAAGTCTACTTGTACCCGCATAGATATCACGATATAATTGAAATATGTACATCAAATAACATAAAAGTTAGTTTGTTATTAATTTTATTATATTTGATTTCATGTTTCAAGTTGTTTTTCTAGACAAATTGTAAAAATGTTATTTCTTAATGCTGTTCAAATACTGGAACGTTGAAAGTCCAATTGTACGTGTAAATGAACGATGTGTTCATTTAATAGAATATTTCAAAAATATTTAAATTATTTAAATTAGATGTACAAAATATATTTATTTATTCTAAAAAATGTATATTCATGAATGAAAAAAATATTCATACAGGTAATAGAATGTCCATCAATACACAAGACATACAGTCACTTAAAACTAAAAAAAGATATAGGACAAGATTTGCATGTCCATAGACAATAAAACAAAGACAATTAGTAAATAAGATTTAAACATTTTTTAAAAATATTAGTACATATTAGTTTTATTTAAACCAATAATGGTTACTGTTAGTATTGTTTATACCAAAAATCTTATTATTAATATTACTTAAACCAAGAATATTATTATTAGAATTTTTTCAACCGAAGAAGACTGATAGTTTGTAATACATTTCTTTAAACACTTTTTATTTACTTAAACAATAATAAATTAATAAATTATAAGTGTTATTTACGTATTATATAATATATAGTTCAAACTTTATGTCTTTTTGAAGTATGTTTTTTTCATTTATTCACATATGCAAAATATCGTTCATTCACTGGTTAAAAGTGTTCATTTGCTGGTTAAACTGTTCATTCACTGATGAAATTTGTATTCTTTTGGTTTTAATTTAATTAATCCCATTTTTCCAATTTTTCAAACAGAAATCCATACGTTATCAAAATGTATAGATATTAACCCTTTGCACTCCGAGTAATTTTTAATACGACCTACCAGCAACTCCGAGTCATTTTTTCTATGAGCAACCAGCTACTCCAAGACTATTTAATTTTAACACACAAGTATACATGCAATGTAACAGTAAAGGCCCCCATGGAAATGTGAAGAATATTTTAATTGTTAAATGTATAAAAATACAAAGTTGCTTCTATATAGATTTCGCCGCTGTCGCCGCAGCGGCCACATCGGAGTGCAAAGGGTTAAAATATCTTATTTTCATATGCCAAATATGTATTAGTATTGTTATCATTTAAAATTTGGCTTTAATAGTTACAAAATCTATTAAGTGTTCATTCATTGGTGCAGTCACCCTACTTTAATTAATAAAATTCTTTCAAATTGAATGAACTATAAAATGCTACTAGAAATTATAAAAAATGAAGTCTAATGGAAGTTTGTTTTCCTCATTAAAGTCTTTATAAAAATCAAAATAAAATAAAAACCTCAGTAAACTTCATTAAAAGTTTAACTGTACTGAGTTTCACACAATCGTGTATGCGATAAATGCATAAAATCTGCAGTCTACTCATGTGCAACAACCTACATAATACTTGTATTTATAATAAAAGTATCAACACCTTACTAAAAATTGCAGTTTTCGTTTTAACTTGAAGACTTTTTGGACAAACGGAGAAAACGTGTCCCACAGTCGATATGATGTATCGTACGACGAGTTGTATAATATAGTTTTATTAGAATGTGACTGTTCGAACGATAATCGTAATTGTGTGAGGCTGTCGTATGATCCGACAGATGGTGAGATCGTGTTTCCCGGTATTATGGCGCAACCATAAAACCTGTCGTACTGCAGGTCTGACGAACAACAGATGGAAACGTATGTGATCGTTCAGTGATCAGCTGAAATGGATTTTCCGTATAATTTCGAGTTTGAAAATAGAAATTTTAACTTCCGGTCGGGATCGAATGTACCACATTACAAGACGTTTCGTGGTACGGTAGATCATTTTGTCTGTGGTCAGAACGTAAAACAGATTTATTTATAACATTTGTACGTCATCAAGGATTTTTTTTTATTATCATGTTTCAATGTTTTTAATTTCGTATGACTACGCTTGTTTCGGTCTATTGTAATACAAACTTTTAAGTTTGATCGAGTAATTGAAAAAAATGGGAATTTTTGTGTACAAAATGTACAATATATGATGTAGCAATAATGACACGTATCGTACTATAGCCATAAAACATTATGAAAATATAATAATCCTCTTTGGATACGGGTCCGAGAGCTTTGTTTGCCTAAAATGTGAGTAAATTACGGATGCAAAGGGTCTGTTATAATTCGCATATCCAAATTCTAATCTATTCATATTTGATGTTTAAGTCCTCCGTTTACATATCTAAATTTATCCAGAAGCAGATCAATAAAATTTTAAACAATGCTTTAAAATTATATTGATATGTAATACATTCTGTTATAATTAATATTAAAGGGCATACATATTTTGTAATTTCAATTTTTTTCTAGATATAACAGTTTCTGAGGTATTTTAGCAAAAGACATTTTCTACATCTAAGCTTGAAAACTCTTTTCATCTCCTCATAGTGGATGTTTACTCGTAAAAAAAAATAATTTGTCAAATATTTTCTAATTCCGTGAATTTATTATTAATTCTTCATGCTAGCACACTGCATGAATTATTTTCTATTTAATAAACCTTTTCATTTAGCCTTTACTGCGAAACAAGGAACTAAATAAAAAGATTATCGTTACTTTCGTACGTCATATCTTTCTTATAATGTTTTAATACAACTTCTGCATACTTTTATAAAGCAAGTTTCAACATACAGAAGGTACTAATAAAGTTTAATAAGAATACTCGGTGTAAAAGTATTTTCTTTGAACTTTTTCTGTTATTTTTAAATAAGAATCAAAGCTGCAGGCAAAATATTTGTATAACGTTATACATATGTAGAGTAATGCAGCATATCGACCATATATGCATGAATATTAAAATCCCTTACTTTCATATAATTTATGAACGAAGCCAGAAACCCATTATAAAAAAGAGGAATATTAAATTTTTGATCGTGTATACCTAGTAGGAACAGTTATCAAAGTTTGTTTTTCAAATATTGGAAATTTTACTTTTTGTGACTATGATCGTTTTTTCCTTGGGCTCTTCAATTGCCATAATTAAGAAGTCTTTAATTTCCATAGAAAACTTAATTCAATCGAAGAACCGCTCATAGGAACAAAAGATTTCATACCGCCCAAGTAAATTTACTCCAAAAATTTGGATAAACAAGTAAATATCAAAACTTCTGAACTTTAAACATTCGATTCCCTCATAATTAAATTTTTTTAGTAAATAAATATAAGTTTCACCGTTTCTTAATCTGCATCAGCAAATAGTAAAACTGCATCTATAATGTTCAGGTTACACAAGGAACAAGAAGCGTATGTAGACCGTTCAATGGTTATGTACCTGGGTGTAGGTCATCCAGCAACATGGCTCCACCTGATTGGAGTCGAGGCCCCAGAAGTCGAGCTCCTCCTCGAACAGCGGCCCGCAAACATCCGTTGGATAGTGAAGCTTTCCGGTACGATAGTAATTGAGGACCTGGGCGAAGACCCCCGGATGTCTGTCGAAGAAGTACTCGTTTAAAATGGGGTCGTAATTCGCCAGGGCCTCGGTCAGCCTGGACAGTCGCGTCGCGGGGATCTTCTTCAGGGTCGCTCTGTACGTCTCGTGCCGGATCCCGCCCACATTCAGGACCACGCGGTTCTCCGTATCCGAGTTTATAAGACTCATCTTGATCACGGCTCTGCTACCGCCGGTCCCGACTCAGAGAAACCCACGCGGCCTGCAAATAAAAAGAAAAACAATTTATCACTATGAACCTCGGTAATCATGATCAACGTTGGACAAACTCCAAAGTGATTTATAGGTATGTTTGTTACGTCTGTAATGGATTCCGACGGTTACCTTCTGTTCTTGGGGAGAAAAAGCTATTAGAGTGGAAAAAATCCAAACATTGACCCCAAATGTTAGCTGGGCATTTCCAGATGATGCAAACTTGGGCAATAAATTGAGTATGAACCAGGACGTACTACTCGAAATGCTCAAATCTTCGAAGATTTGGCCTTCAAGAATTTTTAAGCATTGGAGTGTTGCGACTGGTTCATATAGATGGGGTCAAAAAAGTATTTGTACACCCTTCAAAACAGAACAACTCTTTCAAAATTAGACCAAGTGACTTGAATTTCTTTGTAAAGTTAGAAGGATTAGAGTACTAAATGATGTGTTAACAAAATGTTGAAAAAGTGGCAATTGGTCGGAATCGCGAAGAAAATAGTAAAGGTCGCTTTTTGCGTATTTTTTCTCTGAGATTGTAATGAAAATTTAACGAATACATTGCTTAGATTTATGTTATGAGTTATATGCATGCTGAAAATTTCATCGAAGACGGTTAACGTTGTTATGAGCTACAAATGGTTAAAAATGTTGAAAATCGAAGGTTTTCGTGACTTTTGACCTGCAACTGTAGTACATTTTTTTTTTTATTAAGCACATGAGTACATGAATAATACAATAGAATAAGTTGTACAGTCATAACAGTAGTTAAGTATTACATAAATTTAAACAACTTACATTCTAGGTTTTGGTTGTTACTTTAAATTTTGAGATTACAATTTTTCAAGAAGCTGTGAACATATGAACAGGCTGGTATGTTTGATTTAGCGATTATTATGTCTATACTTAGGGGAGGATATAATTTAATTTTTTGTAATTGTCTTATTAGTTTGGATCGTTGTGAGTTATACATATAGGCAGCACTGCCATATAATATGGTTGACATCTTGGATTGCGTTTCCACATTCACACTTGGGTTCATTAATAATACCTATACGAGAGAGTGATGCAGCTAAGCTATAATGGTCAGATCCGCAACGGTTTATGGTGACGATAAGTTCACGCGATAGTCTTTTGTGGGCATACCATGGAACTGAATTATCACGGTGGAAATTCTGGAAATACCCTTTCCCTTTAGTAAGACCTTGTTGCTTTACAGTACTAATGTTTTCCGAACGTGCTGATTTACGAAAATTTTCGTATAGATCAGTTTAAGGGATAGTCAATATTTCGTCCCTTGATGTTACAGTGGCCAGCTTAGCTAATCGGTCGATGTCTTCGTTACCTTTTATACCAACATGCGACGGAATCCAGAAAAATTGTATGGTTCTGTTGGGATTTTTTTGTAAGAACAAGTTGTATCGTTTTTTTGTTTCAAGAATATAAGTGTTTGCTTTGTTATCTACTTTGGTGGACTGAAGGCTTTGCAAGACATTTAGGGAGTCGGTCAAAATAAGAATATCCTTGTCAGAGCATTTTAAGGAGATTCCAAGAGCATCGTTTAGTGCTATGCATTCCGCAGTGAAAACGGAAGCTCTACTATTGATACTTCTTGTTCTTATAATACCTAGCTCGGGGGACTCGCAAGCTGATCCCACGTACACATTACCCGTTATTTTGCTTCCGTCTGTATAGATCGTGTAGGCGTTATTTCTGTAGAGCATATCCGTTATTAATTGGTTTGGATTTTTGGCTTCCTTCAAGACTTTTCCTAGTTCCAAGTTAATTGGTATAGAAGTGACTATAGTTTTATATTCGTGACGGTAAATATCAAATTGCTTTTAGACATTAATCGGCTTGCAAACCTTTACAGCATTTTCGATACATTGCTTTAGTATTCGATTCTTTTTGTTCTGTTTTTTAGCACATTTTTTGTGGTACTTGTATATTATTTTTTTTACAGGTAAATTTGTATTTGACAACATTTTACTTAAATCACAGTTACATAAGAACTTTGTTCGCTCCTGGATTAGTGGCAGTTTGGATTCTGCTAGTAAAACATTCGTTGGTGTACTACTTCTATATCCTAAGGCAATCCGTATTGCTGAGTTTTGTATTGTTTCAAGTTTTCTTATACAATCTATGCGCGTAGGGAAATATACAAAACAACTATAATCCATAATAGAACGAACGAAGCTTTTATACAGAATGATCAGTGTTTCGGGGTTGGAGCCAAACCATGTGCCGCATAAGAACTTTATAATATTTAAAGCCCTCATACACTTATTACGTATTATATTTATTTGTGGAGTGAATGTCATTTTGTAATCAAAGGTGATGCCTAGAAAGCGTGCCGAGTAACTGGATTTTATACCATGACCGACGATTTTAATTTCTGTTTCGCCATGCAAAATATTTTTGTTATTAAAATGTATTAAAACAGTCTTCAGTGGAGATAAATCTAGACGAAGATTTGCCAGGTTCTTCATAATAATATTTACCGATTTTTCGATTGTATTTCTACATTTACTGACAGGTGAGATTTTTGAAAAAACTGCAATGTCATCTGCGAATTTAGAAACAGTTACAGTCTTTGGCAAATTATCAGTAATGCTTCGTACGTATGTTATGTATAATAACGGACTGAGGACACCGCCTTGAGGTACTCCCTTGTATACGGTCCTATACTCATCACCTGTATAACTTGTATAGATGTGTCTTTGGTATGTAAGGAACCTGACAAATTTGATTAAATTTACTGAGCAACCCACCTCCGCAAGTTTTCTTAATAGTATATCGCTTTTAACGTTGTTGAACGCTCCATTTACATCCAAAAAGGAGGCGATAGCGTCTCTTATGAATGTCAAAGCTTCATCCACTTGTAGCGTAAGGTTCACCAGATTATCGACACAGGATCTACCTTTTCTAAATCCAGATTGGTTATTAGGTAGTAGGTTGTTAGATTCCACCCACCATTGCAGCCTACTTTTTACAAGAGCTTCTAGAAGTTTGCATAGACACGAGGACAGGGTTATTGGTCTTACACTGTTGCCCTCTGGTTTGTCAATGAACTGCACAAAGGATTGTTTCCAACTGGATGAATAGTCGTTATTTAGATACATTTCATGTATATGTCTAATAGTGTTAATTTATACTTTATTGGCATGGTTTGTAAGACCTCACAATCAATTCCGTCCATTCCTGGGCCGATTTAAAAGGTGCTGAATCGAGGGCTATGTTAAACTCTGTAAAATCAAAGTGCATGTTAAAGAAATCGTTTGTATTACAGCTTATTTTGTTCATAGAGGTCGCAATTTTTAATTCTGTTTGGAGGTTGTGTGTAACATGCGACGGGTTGATTCTTGTACATTTGTTTTTAAATATCTTGCATTTATTCCAAACGTATTTCGGATCAGTTTGAAAGTTAATACTTTTAGCAAACTCCTTGAAGCTCTCCCGTTTCTTCATTTTGAAAGTCTTAATCGCTAAAGCACAAATCTTTTTATAGTCTATAAGGTCATTTAGACTCTTGGTGTGCTCTCATTTTTTGTAGGACGCCCGTCTAAGCCCTTGATTCGATTACATTCGTAGTCCCACCAGGGAACTGGGTTCTTTGCATTGCATGGGTTTTTTGTTTTACTTATGGGTGTGCAAGATTCCACTGCATCGCTAATCATTTTAACGAATAGTTCATATTTTTTACTCGTGAAGATTGACAGTAATCCGCGGAAAGAAATTATGAGTAACCACGATCTGAGTGTGCTACGTAATGTTCCCAGTTTGTTCGGCGTGTTTTTAACCTAAAGGATTTTTTTTTATAATAATTTTTGCTTGCATGAATTTCTATGAAAATAGGGTAGTGATTTGAGCCCCAAGTTTCCTCATTTACTTTTATATTAGTTTTGTCTGCTACATTCATCGTGGAGAGAACAAGATCAATGTTTGATTTCAAATTTCTTTGAGTATCTATGCGTGTAAAAGTATTATTGTTATGCAGAAAGAGATTATGACAATCAATACTAGACCAGAATCTTTCTCCATTCGTGTCGGTGTTGGAGCAATTCTACATTTTGTTATGGGAATTGAAATCTTCAACTAGAATGCCGTGTACATTTTTACCAACATTTTCTACAATTTGTTTCCCTTAATCTTGTGTGAGAGTGTGATCTGGAACTCGGTAACAAACTATCAGATCAAGGATGGTTTTATGTTTGTGATTTGGATGCCACACATTTCCACCGATCGGTTCGGAGATCTTACTCTGCTTATTTCTAAAAATGCTAGTGTCTTACGGATTAGGATAAGGATACCTCCTCCTCGAGAGTGAATTCTGTCTCTTCTGAAAGGTACAAAAACTGTGCATTGAAAGTCCTCTTCAGGTTTTAGCCAGGATTCAGCGCATATAAAGATGTCAACGTCTTGGAGGATGACCTGCAATTCTTCTTTGCGTTTCGAAACACTTCGTGTATTCCAAAATAAGATTCTTATTGTTTTCAGGTGTTGGTCCATGATAGATATTTTTTATTTTTAATATTTTATATGGTGTAGTCGTCACTGTGGTTGCAGTCTGGGTCAAGAGGCTGGATTCGTTTTTTTATTCTAATAATACGATTTTTTATATTTTGTTCATCAAGAAAACTATATGTTTATGTAAGTAGATTGGTTAAAGCTGCGGTGTCTGTTGTATATTCTTTTGCAATGTCGCTTATATTAGATTTTCCTTGTGTTTCGAATATAAATCTTGCAAAATTTTCAAAGGTCAGCGGGTATTTTTGAGCATTCGATATAATGTTATCTTTAGCGGGTAGCAGTTTTTTTTCGATGTCACTTATCTTCGATGTAACTTTTCTTGTTTTTTTTATGACTATTTTAATACTCTCTTCTTTATCTTTGTTACCTACATTTATATTGCCTGTATTTATTAACTCAGGAAAGCTTGAAGATGATATTGTAATGGA